ATCGGTGTTCGGGCATACATAACACGTAGCCCAACTTTCTCAGTCTATGAAGATTTACAACCTCATCAACTGATTCACTATTATTCCATAATACCCGGCGTATAACCTCAGTATTACGTATTCGGTGATCCCAGCAGATGCGAGCAATATTTCTAAGACATATGTAATCAAATACTAGTAGTTTACTAGTATCTTGTACTCTGTATGGTTCCGCATCCGTAAAATAGAACAGAACGAACTGCGTCCACTGAGGCGCAAACAAATGAGTGCTCGTATTTGAATATGATCACAATCTAAACATGTATTCCAGAACGAGTGACAGTCTTCTTTTGAGCATCTCCCACAATGACTGATGGCAATATAGTCTATTCGAGTCCATCGTTGGCTATGAATGATCTACCTAGGGGGCTTGGGAAATCCTGATTCCAAACCAATGTTGTACATTGGCTTCAGGATCCTAAGGAAACAAATAGCGTATCAACCTATTGTTAGTCACTGGCTACCATGGGACTGTATTTCCTTACATTGCTCCTCTGCCTTGTGGATTAGACCTTTATGTTGAACGTCCGGGGTGTGGTTCTTTAAGAAAACCACCTGCTTCGGTTTGGGCACCTGTGAAGTATCCTAGCACTCACACCAATCAAATGATTTATGTGGCGCATATCTATTTGGTGTCTTCTTGTACCAATGTTTATGTGTGTAAATAAATAAATAAAATGAAACATCATTGGTTTGGTGTAGTCCGCCTCCATTTTAGACGCTGTCTCTCTTTATGCTTAAAATAATCAGTTGTCTGAGCACAATTGCAGCAGACGATCACAATTATTTGTTAGCGGAACAGGAATACCAAAATACCCACTCAAATGTCTTTCTGATTGATTTGAGCTACCTACTTGGGCATTAAAGTCTTCTGCTACAAGTACTATGTCTGCGTGTTTAACTTTCTGAAGTTTAGAAAGCTTTCTCTAAAACTCATTTTTCACTTCATCCGGGATGCAGTCAGTGGTAGCGTAGGCAGAAATGACGAAAAGGCAACGATATTGTCCCTATACTTCTGAGTTCTTACGGAGCCATTTAACCGAAGGGCGCATAGGCGACTATCAACAAGAATCCATTCGAAAAGTGCTTCTCCTTTCATATTTAGTGAGTACACCCGCCAGTCCATGGGAACTTGTCGTCGGGTCGCCAGATAAACGGAGAGTTTCCCGTTTTGGCGGGGTGAGGTCAAGTGAATGATCACACCAGGATCCTGTATGCATGTTTCAGAGACAATAATTTTCGTGTTAGCTCCGTACTTATTGGGACGTTATCTCCGGAGACAGGAATCTGTAGGATAAAGCGAGGTATGCATTTTTAAGGTCGACCTTTTCTAACCTCACCTTCCTTGTGGGAAGTCAGCATCGCTCTTATGCTGTTTCTGAGACAATTTATTGCTGTCACGCCTCTGTACTGTCAGTAGTATGACTTCATTCTCGGACCGTGGGTTTGCTGCTTTTACTCTTATCGTCGTTCAGTCGATCTGGAACGATTGTTCCAGTCAGTATAGCCCGATTAGTTCATCACGATAGGCAACCACAATAACAACGTCAAAGTAGCAGCAACGGTCGGGCGTCACACAGTCATGAAATAGTTTTCTTTTCTAATAAGTTTAATTTCTTTCCCACTTCTGTTGGGGAAATAACCAAATAAATTATTACCAGACAAAATTATAAACATCAAACAATCTCAAGGGTGTAATAAATAAATTGAAAAATATCACTATTATAAACAGAAATGCATTTTTATTTATGGTAAATTATTCTGTAGTTTTCTTCTAAGTGAAAATTGACTAAAAAATGTGATGTACGATCATCTATTGTGTGCATAATAATATGAAACAGAATACAAAATAAATACTAAAAGATGAAAAAATTCGTTGAAGGATATGTCATGGTTAACATGATCACCTAAAGCACATTTTGTAATATCTGAACTACCCATTCATCGTACAGTATATCGTATTGTGTATTATCAACTACATCGTGAACACCGCTGCCAAAGTCAAGACTAATAGTTGTCGTTTGTTGGTAATAATATGGTTCGTTTGAAGTCCATCAGAATAACACAAATTTTACTACTGTGATATGACTGAATAAGTGTCAGTATGTTCGCCTTGAAGTCAGAGGACCGGTAAATCAATGGTCTTAACATTACCGAATGCATTTTGTGATGATGGCCAACTTTCTAATTAACATTAAATTTTGAAATGACACGGAACAGTGATACGTATAAGGTAGTTAACTTGACAAATTTATGCTTCACATTTTAAAATAATAAAGACTTCAAATCGCTATTTTAAAAGTAATGACAACACCTATTTGATCAAATGTATAGTACGTTCTGTGTACATATATGATAAGATTATATTTTACTTAATACAAAATTGATTATATTGGTATTTCTCTGTGTAACGTATAAGTTATTAACTTTTCACTAACTGAAAGTCAATATAAATATGGTCAAGACTGATTGATTTTTCTCTCATCAGTCAACACTACTAATTAAATACTTTCAATGAACCTCCTTATAAATAATTAAAATATCCACAAACTATATAAGTTTTTAAAACAGTTGTCGCACAAACACGATCATAATTTTAAGGGGAATCCATTGGTTCCGAAACAGAAATGAAATTGAATTAAACAACTGATAGAAGATTTCGAAACAGTTGATATATATATGTATGTAATATTTATGTACAACAGTCAAATTTGTTACCAATAAGATTTTGAGTCTAGTTATAAAATGTTGGATTTAAACACGGAGTTTCTACCAACATTTTCTCCTCTATTCTCTGGTGTTAATTATGTTTACATCTGAAGTTGGTTCTTGGTGAAAATTATTTTCCATATATAAAAACATTTTTAACAAAAGAACTTTATCATAGTTGACTTGTGATGAGATAAACTCAGCTAAAATTCTGTCGATAGATTGTAACTTATAAAATCAGTCAGATCATAAATGATATAGTTATTCATCGATAAGATTAGATGTAATGATCATGTTATGATTAAAAGTTGATAGATATTTAAACTGTAGACTATCAGCTTCGAATTTAATGGTACTCATCGATATTGTATAGTATCGTCGTTGCTTGCTATTTAGTTGTCTAAATAGTTCATGCGATGATATTCATATGTGCTGAAGATTGAAAAACCACATAATCTAATTAGTTTCTTATTTGTTTTTTTTAATGCACTTTATTCACTCACTGTTGTTCATAAATCAAAAAACAGTCAAACAATCTTGTAAAAGTGAACATTCGTAATCGATTAGAAATTACTAAATCCATAGAAATATAATTAATTTTGTATGATGTTAAATAGAAGATGAATTATAAACTTTCACATTGCATGTTTGTTGATTTGGCCAGATAGTAATAATGATAATAATGAATATTATCTTCAGGTCATTGGATTTTCACAGCACTTCTCTTTCATTTCTATTTCCCTACTAATTCCTATGATAAGTTAATTTAGATTTACTGAACCATATGGTTGATTATGTTTGACTGACTGACTTTAAAATAACCAGTGATGTGTTGTCTGATTGAAAGACAATCGTGAAATATACATCGTATAGACTAATAATAAATAATTCGTAAGGATAAATTTATCGTTATCCTATGATTGATATGTCGATGTACATTTGATTTTTTTTGGATTTTTTCGAGTTATCTGAAGTATGGGATAAATAAACTTTTGCTACGTGATATAAACCGAGAATGACAATTTCTAGACCATAAATGTATAGGTTATAATTGTTATAAAGCCTGAATCTCTTAATTTCAGTTCCATTAAAAAATAGTAGCAAAACAAATAATCTAAAATAGAATGGAACAATTATTATTACATCCTGAATTTCGAAGTGAATAAACGTATATTTTGTATGGGATTATATGTATGATCATTTGAGAGAATTTTCTTCATTTCATATCAGAAAATCATATTGGATCAAGTTAGCTGGTTTAAAGAACTCTTCAGCAATCCTTTAACATAGTATTATTTAACACATTAAGTAGGTTTGCTGATGAATGATTGTAATCTATATACAATTATTAATACCAGTCATGCATTTTTTCTTTATGTCTGTTAAACAACAGCTAAATTATGACAAAAGCCAGAACAGCAAGCGTAGCAAATTAAAGTGAATTCATTTATTTCATGGACTCTGGTCAGCCATTTTCAACCTAGAAACAATAGTCATAATTATTTTACTTATACATTATATTACTGAAGTTTAGTAGAATAACGATGACAGTTTTCGAAGAATTATTAAGTGGTAAATTGTTTTTAACTGAAATGTTTCCTTTGATGAAAATATCTTTCGGTATTACTACATGTAGAATATTCTAATAGCGATCATTGCAAATAGTAAACAAGCCATATATTATGCACGTTTTTCTATTTTTAATTCTTTCCCATCTACGTGCACACGACGTAAGCTTAGTAAATGAAGGGTATATATATATATATATATATATATATATATATATATATATATATTACTTTGCTATAATTGAACAGCATTTTATGTGAAATACGCTTAATACACTCAAAACTAGATCTCTTCAGATTAAATCTTTCTGAACTACGTTTTGGATATATACTACGAAAGAAATCACTTGTTGAAAGTAAGTACGGGAAGTTGTAGTAGTCAAACTTCTGCAACACAGATCATCTTTTTATCATTTAACTGTCAGCCCACTATTTGCATAAATTGATTAGTTTAAATTTTTGCAGTAAGAACTACAGTTCTCGTTTATCTGGGACTGACGATTTCTTTGTTCATTCTGCACATAGTAATCGCTAAGCCAAAGGTCGATTTCATCTGCTTAGTTTTATAACCTTACTGGTCATTCACAATTTAGGAGTGTAACCCTTTAATTTTCATTTCAGTGACTTATGTTTCATGATACTAAACCAATAATGTTATTTATTGACAATTTTTCTATTTGATAGAATAATTTCCGCTCATGGACGAATGCCGCGTTTACCTTATCTTGACGAAAGAATTGTGAATTTTTTAGCTAAAATTCCTTTGGAATTTAAAGTAAGTACTTATATCAGTGTTCACTCTAAGTGCCTTTTATGGTAAATATCAGCACAGCTGAAAGTAAGAATTATCCGTAACATGAGACTGATAAACAGGTTTTAGTTGATTATAGGTGAGTAGTTGTTGAACTATATTTTCTAAAATATATTTCGAATGAATCTTTCAATTGACTGTACATTCAGATTAAAACTAGCTATACTGTCTTCATTCTTTGATTTTGTAATCTAATTTAAGGTGGGTTGGGGATAAAATCACTTGGATTGGGTTAGTGACCATAGCCCATATCTACGTCTACTTCCGTTTTGGCACACGGTCGATACACTAGTCGTGACACCAAGTAAGAGTGCCACCAAATACTGATTATGCACATCTGTACGTGTTGAATTAGTCGTAATTTTCATAGAGGGTTGGTCTTAGACAATCACCGAGAATCAGGAAACGTTTAACAGCTATTTTGTCGTAGTATAGGGCTGATAAGTACGGATTCGCGACCTTATCAGGGATCTAACCCAGTACCTTAAGTCACACAGCGAGCGTTTAACTTCAGGAGTATTGAGTCAGCAAATAGTTTTGATAAAAAAAATAAGGAATAAAACGTTATTTTCAAATTCATGATATGGGATGAGATTTATGATATATATAATACCTGGTTTGTTTTAATACTTGGCGTATATTGATCAGCTACACTAACAATATTATTCCGAAAGTGATTTATGTGACCTATATAGGTAACAGATTAATTAATTCTATTAGCGAAGTACAAAATTACTATCATCAGTATGAGTTGCATTGTTCAACATTACATGATGCTATCAATTTTTAAAGTTTATTTAAGTGCTTTCTTAATCATGTGCTTGTCTGAAATTGTGTGACATAAATTAATGAAATGGTTTATTTATAATAGTTAAATCCATAATTCTTGTACATTACATCATTTCCAGATTTTCAATGAATATATAGTACACTAAATAGATAAATATTATGATAACTAATGTGTGTTTTACTCTACATACTAACTTATAACTTCCTGAAATGGATTTGATGTTGTAAATTTAAAAAAAGCTGTCTAATCTAATTAGATTCTATTTATGAATTCAAATAAGTAATCATAATGAATGGTCACAATTGAGGCAAATATGTTTTAAACTATACAGAATCTAAACTTGGAACTGTAAGTGGAATGAATTTGTCAGTGGTAATGGATGTTAAAATGAATGGTAATAAACATTTGGATCATATGAAATTAGAGTATTTATTGATGGCACGATGGTTTTTTTTCCAAACGTTTTACATCTAACTACCAACTCATTAGTGGAATTATTTTCATCCTTCATGCCATACTGATAATTTATATATGTATTATTTATTTGCTCGGCAGAAATGATATGAGTTGAGAATAATTAGGGAAGAATTTTTTTTCATTTTAAATTATAAAAACTTGACATTTGATAAAATTTCCCAGATTTTTGATATACATCGGAATGGGGGTAATACAAAGATTGGTTGTATCAAATGTTATTGAAACTCATCATCGTTTTAGACTCATAACTTCACACACTATCGAATCTCGAACCTTCAGGTTTTACAGGGAATGTAATAGCACTGAGCCTAATTCCTGTGCTTCAAACTTTGGATTTGTTTTATTACACGGGGGTAATTTAAAGTTAACAATGATAGATGTCATTCGATCCCATCAAGGGTTGCACCCATGACCTTCAGATCACCTTTATGTAGTCTCATACTGGAGTGAAACAATTCTCCGATTCATCGCAATTTTTGTCCATGGTATGGTCGACTTATGCTCTCAATAACTTCTGTTATCGTTGATTAAACTGTTTATAATTAATTTAGCCCACTTGGAAAATGATAAACATTTATCTGCAATATATGATCTGGAGCACTGAATTTTATCCTTTATTATTATTATTATTATTATTATTATTATTATTATTATTATTGATATGTATCGTTTCGTCGTAAGTATGCACATACAAGGTTTAGTTGGATTAAGTGGGTGGTAATGTAATTATATAAATGCATATATAACTCATCGCGAGTTCCATGGGACAAATTAGTTTGTTCATTTGCTGTTTTCCTGTTTATTAATTTATTTACATTTTTCTCGTTACAACGGAAAAACTTTTTATTTATTTATGTGAAATTCCATTATATTATCAACGACATTAAAGATGACAACATCCTGAACATTTGTGAAATAATGTTTATTTTGTGTTAAATATAATTTTGTTAACTTATTTATGTGTTTTGGAATTTATTTTGTTTGTTTTCATGTGTTGTAAATGTGATTTATTCACTATTGGCTTGTGGTAATCTATTAATTTGTTAAAATGTTATTTTGTGCGTGTGTACTTCTTTCTTGGTGTCACTTCGATTTTACCGTTGAGATGAACAACTAGTAATAAGTAATTGGAAATGCTTGTGTTCAATTGGACATCTAACTCGAACTTTTTTGTGTTTGTTAGTAAATAACAGGATTTGTGAAATTACAATTTTCTCGTCACAACTAAATTTGAGTTACACAGTATCGTAATTAGAATTAGTATTACTTTATTAATCATAACCTACTGAACCTTCTAATTCATGCTTGGTTGAATTTTTAATGATAGACTTCTCATTCAAATCCTTAGTATATGTTGGAAGGTACTAGCCACCTATTCAAATCATTCCTTAAATGGAAATAATCGAGAACATCAGAGTCATCAAATCAACCGGTTATATCACAAAAAAGCTTGCCCTCACATAAAGAACGGTGGACAAATGAGGTTGTTATTATTATTACCAATGTCTACTGACATGTTTTCACGTATATTTTACAGTTAAATGGAGATATAACTAATGACGTTCTACACAAGAGAGTGCCCAAGGATATAAACATAATGTTTGCTCCGGTGTATTTATTGTTTGGCGTGGATCTTCATTGGTTGTCATATTGGGAGGTTCACTAGACAACTTTACTAAAAAAATCATGGAATCGACTTCTTGTAAAAACGTGAAAGACGGTTATTTTTCAGGTCTTACCACTTAAACTAAAATGTAATCAAATCGAACAATGAAATATTGAACAACAACTGTTTCTTAGAAACCGATTTTCGTAGTACGTTTGTCGGAACTGATTATTACACAAAAATACGTATAATTACGAAGGTTTTGTATTGAGAATTATGCATTAATGCATTTATTGCCTAATGATATAGCTCAACTGTTTTTTTCATACAGATTTCATGAGATTTTCTGGTTTTAGAATTATTAAGAACCTCTTCTATTTGTGTTTCATGTCTAGATAATCCGAGTATTTCACAAACTGGATTTGAATCATTGTTCAGTTCCGAATTCTCTACTTGTTTTTGCCGTTACTATTTGGAAAATAACCTGTCTATTCCCTAACTAAAAATCATGTCTTTATTTCAAAATCGATACAATTAATTACGATCTCGAATACCACGAGAATGTGTCATTGAAATTCAGAGTCTAATTAACTGAATAGGTTTTTCTGTAATTAATCTATAAGGTTTATTCTGGGTCAAACAAACTGGTTATTCTAAAATCTAATCAAAGAGACATGGTTTAATATAATTGCTAGTTGTAAATTGATTAGATGGCTTATTTACGAAGATCTGATTATTAACGATTAGTTTTTTTTCCCTTAACTTCATCTAATCCAATATTTTATGAAAGATTTATTGGGAAAAGTCAAGAAAAATTAACCCAAGGAAATTAAATATACGCATACAAATGTTCAGAAAAATTTGCAAAATACAACAAACGTTACGCGTACTCAAAGTACAAATGATCAGTAAAAATAAACAATGTATTTGATTAAGAGGGCAAAAGTTCGGATGTACAAAACAAGAATAATAATATAACGAATTAGTAAGTGGTTTTCTGTAGAATTCCCATCCCAAGCACTTTTATACCAACTATTATATAAAGAATAAACTTTGCAGTTGGAAGTTGATAATCATTCAATTTGCTTAAATTTCTAAACTCAGTATCAACTTTAAGTGATCCACATATTATTTTACACACTGGAGTATCACCGCACTCATTTGCTCATAGTTATTAGTTTATATTGCTGATTTATTTTAAGCAGATAACGAGAGGTAATGGTACAAACTGAAATTTATCAACAAAGTATTTCTGTAATTATTTTGATAGTCGTTGTTTTATTAGTTGACTATTGAAGATTTAAATGACATCCTGAGACTAATTGAAGCATAGTACTTACTATATTAGATGACGAGCCACGTCATTTCATGTGTTTTTTATCACTAATTAAGTTCTATCTTTGCAGCATTTAGATTAAAATGACGAAAATGTATTGGACTTTAAACGAGTTTATTAACTCATTTGTAATGGTTGTATTAGATCTCGTTGATGTTAAAAACTGCAATCGATCAGTTTATTTTGGAGTACGTGTATCATGTACAGATTGCTTCCATATGGCTTCTAAATCGCAAGCATTTTTAAACAGAATTAGTGGTAGTGGTTAGCAATGAAATGCAGGTCGCGTCCTTTGTTCTGTTTAAGATTCCTTAGCTGAACATACCTCTATCACTATGTTGATGTTCACATCGGAACTCGAACCTACTATTTTTCCCTTCAAACTCAGAATGCGTTATCTACTTAGCTACTATGTCGTAACACATGTTCTGAATTCTACTGATAACCTCTTTTCAAGTCTCTTTAAAAATGTTCATAGTTTTTAACTTTATTAGTTCTAAATATATAGTTTCGTTTTTAAAGTAAATGAATGTAATAATTCTATTATTGTATATTTTTAAAACTTTCGTTCAATCTTCATTTTTCTTCTCGCCTCCCTCTTAAAATTGACACAAACCAACTATAGATATATTCAGAAATACATGAAACTATTTTTCACACAATTCATTGGATTTGTTTCGTTCTACATCTGTTCTATTCTGGTTGCCATCAATGCATATGTTTGCAGCCCGTCATAACAAGTAAAGCACCTTCAA